CCTGCCGTCTGTAGGCTGACTCGTCATCGTCTTGGATGAGACCAATGACCATTGTGTCATCTGCAAACTTTAGGAGCTTGACAGAGGGGTCCTTAGAAGTCAAATGTTCCAAAGTGTTGACAAAAACAGAAGAATCCAGGGGTTTATTTCCAAATTGTATTCCTTATTAACTACAACTAGTCAACAATCACATGACCCAATAATGACTCCAATTGGATCCACTGAAATTCCACTCTCCAATAAGTTTCAGACACAAGTCTTAGATTGCACCACCCCTACACCCACACACAGAGACCACAGGTATTCCTCTGTCAGCAGTTTCCGGTTTCATGATCAGCCCTCAGGCATCTGTCCTGCTGACTGAAGAAACCTCTGTGCTGGCTCTCTGTCTTGAGAAGCGAGAGGCAAACCCATGACCTCCCTGTGAAATGTTGCAGCAACCTGCAATAACTCCACTACACTGCAAGTTAGTAAAAAACTCTTTCAAAGTAAAATAGTCTGTGACTGTTATGTGACTAAACACACAACATTGTCCTTTGTGAGATAAAGCCTATTTTTCACATGAGCTGTGGCTGGAAGTTTGCCCAGCCTGAGGTCAAGAGGGCAAGGTGCACTTCCTGGACAAGTCATCAGTCAGACACAGAGCAACATTAGCATTAGTGTGGAGTATGTATCTGGCTACCTGTCTGATGTAATTTCAGCATTCAGTGTCCTTTTAGCTCTGTTTCTGGTGTCTAAGAAAAACAATCTTTAGGTGCTCAGTGCTCCACAATGTTCACCAGCAGGGCGCTAATTTGGACTGAGCAGGTAGCAGAAAGGCAGTGTTTGGTGCTTTTTTGGCACCCTGACAAACTAAATTTAATATTCTCTCTACCTTTAGCTCTGTTTAGTTCTGATCATGAAGAAAATATCATCTTTTTAGCTGCTAAACGCTCCCTTGTGTTCACCAGCTAGTTGCTGACTTAGTCACTATGCAGTTATTTGAGCTTTTTCAGTAAAAAATGAGGATGGCAAGATTCATGAGGCTAAACCAAAACAATATGGGGCCTTAAAACACACTCTTCACATTAAACATAGGAATTTTGTCTGTTGTTAAACTTCTGGATTATAACATTAGAGAATTTTCATCCAAAGTTTTTACCCAATCTGTGGTTCACACCCAGACAATGCCAACTCCTGACTGCCCCTAATGGTTAAAGCCATCGGTGTGAGTTGGCGCCGCAGATGGCTGCCTCGGTTCTGTACCAGAAACAAATTCCTTGTGTGTAACATACTTGGCCAAATAAAGGTGATTATTTATATAACTGAATGCTCCTAATGGGCCCGTAGGGAGATACACAAAGAGAATGAATGGGCTCAAATATCTTGATTTAAAACACAGATCAGACATGTGAGTGTTGTTGAAGCTACAGTATTAACCCTGAATTCCTAAAAACTATATTAGGCCTTGTAAGCGCACATTAAAGGTGCATTTTTTGTGGTTTTACTGGTTTACCTTCTTTACCCACTTGTATTTATATCATGAGGCTATAAAACTAATCTTGGATGAGTCATCCACATCCACTCCAGGCTGCACTGAATGGTCTGAATACTTGAGAGGATTAGATTGTTTGGGCCTATGAACATTCATTAGCCGAGTGTCAATTAAACCTCAAAGAACAAGCTCCCAGAGTCCTGTTTTAATCTCCCAGTTTACTGCCAGTACAGATTCATGAGGCTAGTCATAGCAACAAAAACAAAACCAACTGCCTAGTTTTTGCCTTAAAACACATTCTAGGTATTTGCAAATGCATGTGTGTCTTTAAAAGACGTTATTAGAGACATAGTTTGATTTTATTATGTCTTCATTTTTATTCTTCAGAATAAAATAAAGAAATACAAAATCATTCAAACATTCAGGGAAAAGAAGGCTCAGATTAGCAGCAGCGCAGGTTGAGTGTTGATCTGTTCTCACACTCTCATCATACCTGGAATCCTGCTCAGTGTAGTCCACCCAGAAAATAACCATTCAGAAGAGAAAGTAACTCAAATATCTGGTGCTTTGAACATGGAGCACAGAAAAAGTGATCCAGTGTCCAACTGAGCAGTTCTCACCAGTAGCCAGCAGCTGTATGGGTTTTGTTAACGTTACACCTACAGTGCAGGGCAGACTGCTGGTGGCAAGCTGGCATACAGGTCTGGAGGGTGTGGTAGGGTGAATAACTACTGACATTCTCAGTCTAGTGAATGTTTTAGTGCAACATATTATTTTTGCTTAAGAGGAAATTACATTAAAATTACATCTACTCCTTTTTGGAGTCGTAATATAAGTGATGTAAAAGTGCTCTTGACTAAACTGGTTTCATATTGTAGTTCATTTAAAAGCATTTTTTGTACACATGAATACATTGTAAGGATGTGTCTTGTTGGTTTTTCATTGTGCTTGTTCACTAAAGTACCTCCACCTAAAGTACCTACACATATGTATAAATCAGTTTGCAAAGCTGTTATAGCTAATATGTTAACAAACAACTACACATTTAAACATCAGCAGACACAAGGTGTTGTGTTGTTGGCAACCTGACAAACTTAAGTCCAATGTTCACACAAATTTTAGTTTTGTTTCTTAAAAGCTGCTAAATGTTTCATTATGTTCAGAAGTTAGTCGATAACTTTGTCATTATGCTGTTTGTTGTTCATCAGGTAGCACACAGTGGGTTTATTGGGTTTATTCACTGAAAACAAGGATGATGAGATCAGTGAGACTAAACAAAAACAGTACATTTGAGGCATCATGTTAAAAACAAGGAGCTAAAATACACAAACGTTCTGCCGAGCTGAGGTAAACTGCAGAATTAACTTTGTCGGTGTTTTCTTTCATCCATTGTCTATATAAAAATTATTAGAGCAGCTATATATTTCTGTGTCTATACTTAACATTCAGGGCTAATTGAAATCAAAATAAAGAAAACAAGAAATTAAGAGAAACTGATAAGACAAAAACGATCAAAATCAAACACAACACTACACAGGATTGGAAAAAAAACTCATGATTTATTTATAAAGCACTTTCCACAAAATGTCCTATAAAACAAATCAGAGGAACTAATAACAATAATAAAGTTTCTAAAAATAAATAAATAAACTTTCTACAGTTTTATTCAAGGTTAGTGCTCCATCAGCTTTGTACGATAGCTAGAGTGTTAGAAAGGCTCTACCTCTAAAACGTACATATTTACTCCTCCTGCACCCTCTATAGCCACTCTTTCTGCCATGGTCATGTGCTCCGTTGGTCTGTTGCTGGGGGGCGGTTGACATTAATAATACAGAAACAACTTTTTCTGTAACTGTTTGTGTGTGGGAACAAATTATAAACAAAACGTGACGATGAAAAATAAAAACTAGCAGTTCATGTTGTGGTTCAGAAATGTGCAGCTTCTGTACTTCATCTACGCCCTGTGGAAAAAAAAGGCAATGATAAAACAAAACAAAAATAAATCTCTTCTTGTCTCTAGAGTATTTCTCAATTTCACAACTTCCTGTTGATCCAGATAGACTCGTTTAAAGCTATCCTGCCTGTGTCTGACAAGATAGCACAGGAAACCCCGTAAGCAGAAACTTCCCTCCCACAATGCACACGCACACACACAGTACATACTCATTCATATACAAACATACATGACACAAACATCTGTTACAATAATAATAAAAAAAAAAGCTGATCAGGTTTTTTTATCTCTCGAAATTTAGGCTGTGTGTGTTGCAGTTACATGGCTTTATTATAGTGTGTACTCTGTAATGCTGTCTCTCAAACACTCGGTGTGATGGAGTTTGAATCACACTCAGTATGCTGAGATATTGATCCCCAAACTGAGAGTGAGATCACCAGCTCAAAAAATAATCAACAGCAGAAAAATAGTGCTCACTTTTGACTCGATCCACTTCTCAGTGACAGTCATATACAACTTTCCTACACTGGCATCTGCACCTCTGTCAGACTGATGATTTTAAAAATGCAGTGCGACTTTAACAGCAATTAAACTCCAATATCCTGAAATCCGGTGACTGAACACAGTGTGTCCTTGTTTACCACCATGGCCAGTGTGCAAGGCTTTAGAGATAAATACAGTATGTGATGCAGGTAGGCTTTGAACAAAAACATGACTTCAGTTCTTCTTCCTTTCAAGATTTCAGCTGAAACATTTTCACTGCATCCATACAATGAGGAAAAGTTAAGCAAGCTTAAAGGGGAACTCCAGTGATTTACTGTAGTAACACTGTTCAGTACATTTTCCACCAAGATTGCAGGAGTAGAGGCTGAGATAGACAGATTTTGAGCCCACGGTATGGGCTAGAGCATGTGAGCGGAGCGCGAGTAGGCAGATGTTAGATGGAGTGCAGGGCGGCTTTTTAAAGAGCAAGAAGCATCGCCCGATGTTCTACTCCAACTTTGCTCTGGTGCCACTCGCACCGTGAGCCTGAAGCATGCCCAAGCCTGACTTTGGTTAGATAGGCCTAACTGTAATTTGAAATAAACTATTTCTATTTGGAATAAAGTAGTTGCCATTCTTTAGTTCTTTGGGATATAAAGCTATGAATTAAGCTAAAAGTTAGGTACGTGCAGATTAGTTCCCCTTTTTTGAAGTGAGCAGTGTGACTTGAGTAGAGCGGGATGTGATCTGAGCTGAGTGTTGAGCAATAATGAGCGGACCAGCCTGGTGTGGCTTTCAGTTGGGGAGTGGGCGAACAGCACTGTGAGCGAGGTGCGGACATTCTCACCACTCCACTCCGGTCATATGCTCTGGTATGGGCCAAGCCCTGCAATCACCGATTCCTATATTTCCCATAATGCAACTCAGTGGCATCTTTTCTTTAGACCCTCCCTGCATGGTAAATCTGCATACCACCAGCTTCTAATGCTTTATGTTAGAAATATGTCTTCCCCAAGCCCAGACTGAGATACTGCTGAGAAGATCACTACGGCATCAGCAGGGTGATTTTCTCCATGGCCATAGGAAACATTTTACAACCAATTTCACAGGCTCATTCATGTCAAGAAAACTGAACATCATGTGTAAAGTATTCCAGCTGCAGTGAGCCCCTCGCTGTACATGTGATGGGGAAGCTTCAAAAGCCTGACCTCCATGGCCTAAAGCTCAACAACAGACACAGCATGACCATTTAATTATAGTGACTGTAGTAGTTAGAGCCTGATGTAAGCTAAACTGCCACACTGTCAACAGCAACAATGACCAACAACATGCAACACGCAACACCAGACAAACTAAAGCACTACAGATCTGTGAGGATTCCAGTAAGTTCCCAAAGAAAACACTCATCAATATCTTGCTTAGCAACTTCAACTTCTACTTATTAACAAATGTAAATCCTTGCAGAATTTACAAAAAAGGTGCCAAGGTTTCTGACTGAAGAGAGCTGCGCTTAGCAGCTATCCACATGTGAATGCCATCATTGACAACAACTCCTGTCTCAGCCAACAGTTCTAACATCATTGGCCACACAAGGTACAATTTGCCAAATACAGCAGGTTTTAAGAGGGATATTAATAATAAACAAATTCATAAAAAACATTAAAAAACAATTCATTGAAATGTACCGTAAACAAACAACAAAGCATTGTTAATGACTAAAAAGAGTCCATACTGAACCTAAAAATATTAACAAGAAACAATAGAAAAACAGTGGAAGACCACAAAGATACAGTAGCTCCGAACACCACACGTGACTGTCTTCATCAGGTCCTTATCAACACCCTGTGAAGGAGTGAGGGGGGAATTGTGAAGGGGGCTGTCAGAGCCCAGAGATCAGTGCAGATGCAATCTGATTGGCTGCTAACTAAAGCAAAGGACTGGGCCACTCAGGACTCCTGAGGCACCACCTCCATCACCTTCTGACACCAGGCTGTGGTGGAGACTGCAAAACAGACACATGAGTGACAATTACCCACAAGGTCCAGTGAACTAATGGTTCTAGGAACGCAAACATGAGAACAGATGAGCGAGGTACTCACAGATCCAGTGCAGCAGCCACTTGGGTTTGGTCTTCCACCACACGCCGAAGAAGTAGACAGGCACTCCGGTGCCAATGATGCCGAAGCCAATGGCACACTCCACTGGAGTCTTCACGAAGGAGACGATGATGAGGAAAAGACAGGCGAGCACAAAACTGATTGGCAGCAGAATATTAACCTGAAGACAAACAACAGGAGGGTTTTTTGTTTTTTTTCTTTGTGGTCTCCGTTTGAATCAATCAAACATGATACGACTTGAGACACTGCCTACAAACATAGCAAACATGTAAAACTGAACAAAGGCAGTTCTAAACAGACAGGTCTTGTGCTGCCTTTTTAAAGTGTCCACTGATATTATCTCCAGTAGCAAAGAGGTTCAGAGATTAGAGGCTGCAGCTTTCAGAGTATGACTATCTTTGGTCTGAATGAGCTGCCTGCTGTGGCCAACAATTCTGCACTGAGAACAGTGAGAGTGAACCAAAGATAGTCATACTGAGTTAGAAAACTGAAAGAATGAGCTGAAAGATGCTAAAATGCTTCATAGGGCTGAGGGGGAATGTTGACTTGGGTGATCATTCGTTGTGGGTCTACTTGTCACGTCGTACACTGTCGCCAATTCAGAGGTGTCCATTTTTATCCTCTCTTTCAAGATTTGAAACCAGTGACCTTCTCATCATTTACTTGTTTTATGACCAGGAAGCTTAATGACTGCTCAGCAAGAGTTGAGTCGCCTTCTACAGTATTTTTCAGTTTCTCCACAGAATTGAAAATCTTAGTATAAGGAATTATTACAGTCTTTCATGTTGTGGCTTCAAGCAAATATTGGAATATACACTCACCAGCTACTTTATTAGGTACATCTGTAAAACTGTACTGTATTCCATTCAGTGCAACACTTCCACCTTAACATCTGTGCTTATGAAGCTCAAAATGTTGCTATATTTTTGTCCTCCCTGGCTACATACATAGGGTCAGAATATTAGGAACACCTCTGAATATAATGTAGTCCGGTTCAACACCACCTTTAACTATGTCCTCAGTAATAAACATATAATTGAATGTATACATTTAAGACAATTTCACCAAGAACTTAAACATTTTGAGCTTCATAAATAAATGTTAAGGCAGAAGTGTTGCACTGAAGTGTATACAATTGTACAGGTGTGACTATTAAACTAGTCAGTCAGTGTACAGTGATCTTTCAGACAATGATGAGTTTGGTGTGGAAGAACTTGACTAGTCTGTGGTCTGACCTCAAACCTCACTGCCAACTGAAATAAAGGTTTTAATGGCCAAGTTCAGTAGCCTGCCTCACTAATGCTCTAGTGGCTAAATGGGAGCAAATGACCAATCTGGTGGAAAGTCATTAAACTAACAGATTCTCGAGGTACAGTATCTCTTAACTAAAGACATTAATTAGCAAATATGATTGTGTGATTCTCTGGCAGCTCTGCTCCAAATGTGGTTAATAGCACGTGACAGACAAAGAAAGGAGAAAGAAACAGAGTGGGAGAGAGAGCAGAAAGATAGAGAGATAAAGTTCAGCAGAGAGAGACAGCGCTACCGCTTTCCCACGACTTACACACACACAGCACTGAGTGAACAGATCTATCCGCTTCTTTCACTTCACTGCCCTGACAGACTGCACTTCTGACCAGTACACAGCGCCATGCAGATGAGTAGTCAGGGTGGCCTTCAGGGTGTACACACACACACACACACACACACACACACACACAGATGCATATCATCACACGTGAAATCATACACACTCAGATGCAAACAAAGTGTGACTATGGCCCAGCAGTGCTCTGTGTGCTGGGGAGCCCTACAGCCACTGGTCTCGTCAGGAGGCGTGGCGCTGCGGCTCAGGAGGTAGAGTAGGTCGTCTCCTAACCAGAAGATTAACGGTTCGAGTCTCGGCTTGCCCACTCCACATGCTGAAGTGTCCTTGAGCAAGTTGCTCCCGGTGTGTCAGTGCATGGGAGTGCGAATGGGTGAATGGCCAAATAGTGTGAAAGTGCTTTGAGTGTGCTACAATGCATAGAAAAGCGCTATAGAAGTATAAAGCCAGTTATCTTGTACAAACACACCCCTACCCAGCAGGCCACAACTCCAACTGAAAAGCATTCAACCTCTCTCCAGTTTAATCTGTGACCAGTCTATATTCATCTGACCCTTACTCTATGGATCTATGTTGTTTGTCTGAGGAAAAAGAAGCAACATGTCCTGCTGCCAAAGCTAACTTGAGTGAGAGTCAATGGTGATCGAGGCCAAGGGAGAATTTAATGTCCACTCATCCCTGATTGTGTATCTGTCCCATAAACTGTATATAACTTCCCTCCACTAAGCTAAAGTGAAGCCAAAATATGAATACATCGGCTGCTATCTTGGCATTTTGCACCCAGATTCTGTGCAGTAGCGACCAGAAGCGGAGTGACAGCATAATTTCGCCAATCGCATTCCAAAATACACTCATTTTTATATCAACAAATTACTTATTAAAACCACCTACCAGAAAAATGACCATTTGAATACAGATCATCCTGATATTATCTACCAAATATGTCGGAATTCACCTCAGGAAATTTTTTTTTTTTGATTTGTACTTTGAGCTTTTAGTTTGGCCCACACCCCATCCACTAACATGGACGAGGTGGGATTTATGACCTGTACTGCAACCAGCCACAAGGGGGCGATTGGCTCACTGTGGCTTCACTTCTGCAAGCTGTCACATCATCCATTTTTATGTACAGTCTATGATCTGCCCATGTCCCACTATTATCTTCATCACCTATTTGTTTCAAAACTGGTGTGACCGATCCTCTCCCGTTGAGCATTAGGGATATTTTCAAGCAGAAAGTTGGATAAAGAAAACCAAAAATAACCAACTTTATCCATGTGTAATTACTATTCAGTTCTTGTGTTCTGATTGGCTGACTGCATCATGTTTCACTAACCCTGATAGGTCGATCCAGCTCAGGCTTCTTATAACGTAGCCACATCATCCCAACAATTGCCAAGGCGATGCAGAGCCAGTTGAAGAAGCTGAAGAAGTTAATAACGGAGAAGATGTCGTTGGAGAAGGCGTACAGCAGGGTCATCAAGCACTGTAGAGAGTGAGATCAGGTTAGCAGCTATGATCCTAATACTTCATTACCACTGTAAATCACTGAAGTGGTACCTTTTGGATTAAAAGACTCAGAGATGTATTTGATTTGATGAAGTCTTAATGTACGCTCACTGTGTTCTAGTGGACAGTAAATGAAAAAATTAGAGTACATACAGTGAAGATAAGGGAGGGCAGTGGGGTCAGCAGACTGGGGTGGATCATTGACAGCAGGCTAGGCAGGTGACCCTCCCGGGAACCCACAAAGAATAACCTGAGAGGAAAAAAACATGCCATGGGTTCTGAGCGGGAACAGATGAGCGATTCCAATTAATCCATTTTGTTAGATAGTCTACAGATGTTTCTGGGTATGTTTTGCATATTGTGTGTGTACATGTTACCTGGATGAAGTGAACAGAGAGCCGTTGACTGATCCAAAGCAGGACAGACCGACAAACACTGGGATGATCCATGCCATCGGACCCAGGTGGTAGTTACCAAAATCCTGCAGGACATCACACATAAGGGACAAATGTGATAATATGTCAAGTAGCCTCCATCACTATTCAACCAATTTATTTTGTGCCTCTTTGTCAACTAGCAACTACTTGCAGACATCAAACTACTGAATAGAGCATCTTTCTATTTTCTCTTTACTGTGACAATTACTCCCCTGTGGCATTTTGCTCTGTTATATTCAATAAAGAGTTACAGAAGAAATGAACAAACACTCCAAGATAGCTGAGCTGTCACTGAGCAGGTTTGTGAGTGGTGTTGCTAGGCTGCAAACAAGACAATAAGCTCACACAGTGTTTACTTTAACACTGGAGGGTTCAGTCAAGGTGGATGATGTAACAAGATGCAATAGTATCATTCTGGCTCCTTTAAAGGTCTGCACTGTCATGACTGCCATTTGTCAGTGTTTGCACCTAAGTGCTGGTGGATTTACTTTGGCCCTGAATGCGTGCACTACATCTGGTATCATTTAAAAAGTGAGTAAATAGTAACAAAAACTATTTTAAAAATGTGTTTGGCACTATTCAGACAAAGCACTCACCACAGCCACAGCCTTTGAGTTGAGCATCTGTTCGGGGGAGAGTGTGGTGAAATATGCCAGGTTGGTCAGGACGTACACTACTGTCACTATGGGCAGGGAGATGATGATGGCACGAGGAAGGTTTCTGAGGAAAACACACAGAATTACAAGTGACATTATCAATCACACTCACTTGCAAACAAGTCTGTATTTGAAAATACTGGTGATTGCATGTCAGTCGTCAGTACTCACTTGTAAGGCTCAATCATCTCCTCAGTAACAAAATTCAAGTAGTTCCTGGAACCACAAGAGGTGACAATCAGACACAGTCGAGTTATTTAGCGATGCATTGCATATTTTACAACTGTTCTCCATATGTCTAATAAAAACTGATATGTGAGTCTCTCCAAATTTCTCATTAAAAGCAGCCTGTCAGAACAACTGGAACATCCCCACTGCTCCTGTTTTTACTTCAAAATGGGTTGACATGGCCTCTGTTCCTGTTCTCCAGCAGATCAGTGAGGATGCTGATGCCACTTTTGTTTCTGTACCCTAGCGGGTCAGCAAGAACGCTGCCTCTGCTGATCCCCAGTGGGCCAATGAGGCTGCCTTTGATGTCCTGGCAAAGTTGGCAGGGATGCCAGCACGGCCTCCATCTCTCAACCATAACAGATTGACTCCACCTCTGTTCCTGTTCCCAAATGGGTCGTAGAGGACTCTGACAGTGTCTCTGCCCTATTTCTCTAGTGGGTCAGTGAGGATGCAGGTGCCAGCCCTTATCCTATTCCCAAGCAGGCTGTGAAAATGCTGGCGCCCCTCTAATGCTACTCCAAAGTGGGGTGGCAAGGATGCTGGCACAGTTTGGCGAAAGCAACCTCCATCTCTGCTCTGGAGAGGGCTGATGAGGATTCCAACTTCATAGCATATTCCTGATACCCAGCGGGTCACTGAGAATGCTGATACTGCCTCTGCACCTGTCTCCGAGCAGATCGGTGAGGATGCCACTTCTGTTCCAGCTTCAAAGCAGGTCAGCGAAGATGCCAACGTTGTTTATTCTCC